GTGTGAGAGGCGGGGGACACCCTGGACAGGTCTCCAGTCCATCACAGGGACACATAGAGACAAACGAGACAAACAACCATTCACTCTCACACCTAGGGACAATTTAGAGTTACCAATCAGACTAACATGCATGTTTTTGGTATGTGGGAGGAAACTGGAGTACCCGGAGAAAACCCACACATGCACGGAGAGAACATGCAAACTCCACCCAGAAAGATCTCCAGCCGGGATTTGAACAAACTGTGCCAAACTGAAAATCATTTTCAGAAAATTGTATCCAAATTCAAAACGTACAAAATCCACTCGAAGCACCAACGAGACCACTGCCAACAAGACGAGCTCAGAACTAATGCACTAAACGTGGTGGAACGTTCCTGTCAGCAATACAACACCTGGACTGCTGCCTAAAACCCTCAATGCTAAAATCTCTTCAGACTGGACAACAGCCAGTGACACCAACCCCAGGAATCTTACGGTTGAAGCTTGAGGGGCAGCAGACCGGAGCAACTGCAACAGTATGACAGTGCACAGAGCAGAATGCACTCAGCCTCCTCTGACCAGTCTTCACTATGCTAAACTAGAAGAAGCTAACAGCGACCTGGTGCCAAGTCCAAAACCATCGAACCTCTCACACCAAACACTTTCTCTGACGACTAGCACTGTCTTAATCTCTCCTCGCTCTACCTTCACTCCAGGTGTTACACAGAGCCTGAAACTTTAAATCTATCTTACTCTGACAAGGTAGAGTCAGGTCCTCTGGACAGTTTATTCTTGTTGAAATGTTTCATCTTTTATCCAAAGGACTTCTTCAGTCTGAGGAGCTGCAACAAACCCAGTCTTATAAATATCACCTGAGCAGGATTACTGAGCATGCATCAGGATAAGTGGTATTACTCGATCTTTCTCTTTTCTTCGATGTTCAGCAGCAGATTCTCTTCTATGTTTCCACCTAAACGTCTTCTCAGAGCATCTGCACAGACTGCAGCCAGCCTCATGTCGCTCAGTCACATGACTCAAGCTCACCTGTGATTTTTAGTAGATTTGACCAAGTGCTTGTTTACATTGAGTGCGTACCCACCATTGGTGTCAGAAGCATTTGAAATGTGTGTGTGTGGAGCGGGTGGGACATTGCTGGGGGGGTCTGGGGGTCCTCCCCCATAAGATTTTGAATAAAGTAGATGCTGTTTCCGGGCAGCACGGTGGCACAACTGGTAGAGCTGCTGCCTCTCAGTGAGCAGGTCCCTGGTTCAAACCCCGGACCGGAGGCC